ACATGCATGTCAGAATAATTTTCAAACTCAAAGATATGACTTCTTCCCTTATAATCAAAAATGAGGAAACTTCACTAATATAGCTTCAAAATTCATATATCTATAACAATAAAAATGAAAATTAGCCTCAAGCACAAAGGGCAAAGAAAGAAGATTTGGAAATTTTTGGAGTCACCTTTCGAAAATTGAAGTGATCTGAAGCGATAGAGTTAAATTCCGGTACCGAAACTGGTTGAATCGCCATCGCCTCGGGGCTCTGGTGAAAGTTGTCCCCGATTTCGCAAGCCCACCTCGCCGATTTTGTGAACCGCAGACGCCGTGGACAACCGCCGTCGGTGGAGATGCAGAGATAACGGTGGAACGACGACCGGAGGTCATTGACATCGGAGACTCCTCCGATTGGAGTCGATTTCACGCCTTTGTTTCTCTCTTTGGTTCTATCGCGAAAATGTGAGAGAGAGAGAAAGAACAAAAAACACGGAAACTCTTTTTTTTTACCCTTCCAACTGCCACGTCACCGCCTTTTAGCATCACATTTGTCTCTTAGCTAAGAGATGCCTTAGCCGCCTCTTAGATTTATGCGTGATTTATTATTTAATTTTATACATAATTCACCCTAAGAACAAGCTAAGCAACCACCGTTAAAGATGTTCTTACGTACATTACTAAATTTCAAATCCCCCCACCACTACGAGAGAAGCTAAGTATACTAAATTACTAGACCTGGCCCATCAAGAAGGATAGTGACTTATGGGCCTATGTTATATAATGAATAAAAGCCCAATAAAAATGAATTTCATATACTAGTGTACAAAGTCTGGGCCCAAAGTAAACAGTCTAACGTGTCTTGTCCTTGATCTCTTCCACTCTAATTATAAATTAATTAATTACGGGAAAAAGATTAATTAACTTTAGTGAATCCATCATTAATCAGAGACTAATAAAATAAGCGTGAAGGACAAAAGCAATACGGGTCCCATTGTCTTGTCTCAACCCGCATTATTTGTACTCGCAAATGCTAATCTGATCTACTGTTTAACTTTCACATTTTTGTAATAATTTTTTCTGTATTACTAATCACTTTTTAATTAGCCACACATTTTCAAGTACTCGTAGTTTTTTTTTTTTTTTTTTTATTGGGAGATATGTTTGTTAATCGTCTTTAAATCTTTTGCAAAAGTAAAATAAAAATAAAAAAGAGAGAGGGGGTAAAAAAGAGATAACGTGAGTGGTACGGAAGAGTGATGATGAAAAAAAGAGTCAGAGAAGGTGATGATGATGATGAACGGACACAGGTCTCTCTTACCATCAAATCCAACGGTCAGATATTTTGTGCTTCCCATGCGCGTCTTCTTCTTCTTCCATCCCATTTCCACCCCCTTTGTTATTATTATGCTCCCTTCCCCAATTCCTTTTTTTTTTTTTTTTACCTACTTTGATTTTTACAATGGTGAATACTGAATACCAATGACTAGAAAAATTAATCTACACAATTCACTTCTTTACCACCTACAAATTTACTTTTAGCTTAATTCACACATATTTAATCTACCATATATTTGTTGTTCACATTTAAATTTTGGGTACATTTTTCATATCTTTTATCTTTTAAAAAAATTCGCAAAATGAATCAACAAAAACACATAGTGTAAAAGAAATTCGGTTAAAAGTGTACATAGTCGGACAAACTTATATGCATCTAAAATTTTCATTAGTATAAATTAATTTTCCATTAGTTTACTGATTAAGTGCAAGTTCACCAAAAATGAAAAGCAAAACTCTAGTACTAAAGTATTTACCATTCATCCATCTAGAAGACTAATGAACCCAAAAAATTTCAAGTTTGAGGGGACTAACATTTGTCTAATGGGCCCCATCCAGTTGGGCCAATCTAAGTAAAAAAATGAAAAGATAAGGAAATGCAATAATGAAAGTTAAAGAAATTAGGAAGGTGGCGGATTTTAATTAAACTAAAGAAAGAAAGATTATTGAAAAAAGATTAAGAAGTTTAGTTAATTAAAAATTTAATTTTAGATTAATAAAGTAGAGAGAGAATGAGAAAGTGGAGGAGGTTAGATGTCCCATTCACCACCCGGCAAACCGACTTGGAATGCCGCTTTCTTGTCCCCTCCTCACTCCTCTTTTTCTCTCCATCTAATTACCATTCTACCCTTCAACACTTAATCACGTCATTATTACACAGAGGTTATATTAGTCTTTTAAAACAAAAGGATAGAATCGGAATTTAATATTTGCAGACAACCATCCCCTTTCGGGTGGAGCCAGAAAGTGGAATTTTTTTTTAAAGATCCGACTCCCGACAATTGTATATCAACGGTTCATATCCGCTGATTTAAATCGGACGGTTCATAATTATTAACATGATCAAATCTGAACCGTTGGATTAGAATCCGTTCCTAAACCGAAATACGCAACTTTCTCCACTTATTTACTATTCTGCCACTTTCTTTAATTTAATTTTTAATCTCGGCTACGAGTTTCTGGGTGATGATACTTAAGCTTTTTTTCTTTCTGCTTTGCTTTAATGGAAGGACCTTGACACTTCTCTCTCTCCCTTTCTCTTTGCTATTCATCTTCTACAGTTTCGTAAAAATTATTCTCTTCTTCTCCTAAATATCTGTGACTCTAATTTTGATCGTCTTCTTCTTCGTCTTCAGCTTCCATTTTTCCATCAACGATTTGTTTTTCCCTTGAGGTAACTTTTTCTTCTCTGTTTCGAATCCGGTAATTTGAGCTTGATGATGTTTGTGTGTGAATATGTGTGTTAGTAGTTACTAGATCTAGGAGTTATTTAGTTTCTTCGTTTTTTTTTTTTTGGAACTCTTTGAGGTTATTTCTATGGCGAATTTTGGCTTCTGTGAGCTGTTGGCTTAAACCTAGCTGTTGGCTTAAACCTTGCTAGGTTTAGTGATGTGTAGATAGAATTCCGTGGAAGGTGAAATCTGAGATCAGCTTGAAAAATGTATCTCAACGGTTTAGTTTCGTCGTCTGACCTAGAGTTGACTTCTTTTTCTTTAATAGCTTTCCATTTTCTCTTCGTTTTGCTCTAGATTTCGTTTTGTGAGTTTTACCTAGATGCAATCTACTCTAAAACCTAATTGATACGGTTTAGAGTTGCTTCGGATTTTTGTTGAAATTGAGTTCTTGATTCTTTTTGGTAATTTAGGGTTTTGTTTGAGGATTTAATCATGGTTATGTGAATTTGATGTGTAAAAATCATCAGGTAATCACCTTTGCAGTTGAAGAAACCTTAAGTATCCAATGTCTACGGAAGAGGAGCTACAGAGCAATGTCTCTGTGGCAAGTTCTTCACCTACTAGCAATTGTATCTCCAGGAACACTCTAGGTGGACTTAAAGAGCATAACTACTTGGGTCTCTCTGATTGTTCTTCTGTTGGAAGCTCCACTCTCTCGCTCCTTGCTGAAGATGACAAAGCTACTATCAGCCTCAAGGCTACGGAGCTGACACTTGGTCTTCCTGGATCACAATCTCCTGCGAGAGACACAGAGCTTAACCTTTTGAGCCCAGCAAAGCTCGATGAGAAGCCATTCTTTCCTTTGCTTCCTTCTAAAGATGAGATATGCTCGTCCTCGCAAAAGAACAATGCATCCGGAAACAAAAGAGGCTTTTCTGATACAATGGATCAGTTTGCTGAAGCTAAAAGTTCAGTCTATACTGAGAAAAACTGGATGTTCCCTGAAGCTGCAGCCACCCAGTCTGTAACAAAGAAGGATGTGCCACAAAACATACCGAAAGGACAGTCGAGCACTACAAACAATAGCTCTAGTCCACCTGCAGCCAAGTATGACTAGAAAATGAGCATTCATCCGATTTTGATATGGATTACTTTCAACAGCTAGCTAACTGGTGTTTTCTGGATTCTGGAAATTTCAGGGCACAAATTGTCGGTTGGCCTCCTGTGAGATCCTACAGGAAGAACACATTGGCCACTACTTGTATGCTATTCATCTTTTACAGTTTCGTAAACTTATTCTCCAAAATATCCGATACTCTCGTCTTCTTGAGCTTCAATTTTTCATCCACAATTTGTTTTTCCCTCTTGAGGTAACTATTTCTTCTCTGTTCTTCTTATACATGTTTCAAATCCGGTTATTTGAGCTTGATGATGTTTGTGTGTGAAGATGTGTGTTAGTAGTTACTAGATCTACGTTGTTTTGAAAAAAATTTAGTAGATCTACGAGCTATTGAGTTTCTTCTTCGATTTTTTTCACTCTATAGCGACATCTTGGTTTCTGTGAGCTGTTGGCTAGGTTTAGTATTACTATTAAACCAGTTCTGGTTTTGGCTTATTTAGGATACAAATAAACCGGTTAAATGCAATCTACTCTAGAATTCTGATTTATATGGTTTAGATATTGAATTTTGGTTGAAAGTGAATACGTGACTCTTTTCAACCAAATCTAATTTAGTGATAGGTTCTATAGGAGTTTGTTCAGAAATACTGTAATGAAAGGAACATAGGAGTTTAATTGATTATCTTCATGCATAAGGATACTAGATTACCTAGTATAAAAGATTGAAAAACCATCACAAACCTCCCTTTTTTCTTTTCTATTTTAATTTCTGGATTATTATATGATGATTTTGCAACTTTCCATATATAGAAATAGAAAGAGATAGACTAGAAACGACATCTCTTATGTCAATGACACCAAAGGGATATTAAATGAATAGAATTGGGATATGGATGGAAA